CCCAGTCTTCTTGAATGGGACTCTGGTGAGCATCCAACTAGAGTGGGCTAGTGGATAGACGGTGGGTGTTGAGGCCATGTTTTTTTTCCCCTCAAGCCTAACATTGGCATCAACATTCCTTCACTCACTACTTTTGTCAAATGTTGTTGTTAGTTCCAAAGTCGTGTCTTACCCATCGCAACCCCATGGACAACGTTCCTCCAGGCCTTCCTGTCCTCTACCATCCTCTGGAGTCCATTCAATCTCCTGCCGACTGCTTCGGTGACTCCATCCAGCCACCTCATTCTCTGTTGTCTCCTTCTTCTTTTGCCCTCCATCGTTCCCAGAATCAGGTTCTCCTCCAGTGAGTCCTTCCTTCTCATTAGGTGGCCATAAGTGTTCGAGTTTCATCCCCAGAATCTGGCCTTCTAAAGAGCAGCCATGGTTGATCTCTAGGACTGACCAGTTGGATCGCCTTGTAGTCCAAGGGACTCGCAGGAGTCTGCTCCAGCACCAGAGTTCAAAGGCCTCAATTCTATGGCGCTCAGTCTTTCTTATTGTCCAACTTTCACAGCCATCCATTGCACCTGGGAAAACCATAGCCTTGACTATACCCCTTTTGTTGGCAGGGTGATGTCTCTGCTTTTTAGTATGCTGTCTAGATTTGCCATAGCTTTCCTCCCTAGGAGCAATTGTCAAATGTATGGACTTGTAAACGTCTTCAGAGTCTTCCCGGCATAACCCAGCCTATGTAACAAACCAAATCAGAATGCGTGAGTCTTGAATAAACCATGCTCTCCGAGGTGTTGTTTACTTTGTTTTGGTGCCACTGAGTCAGTCGTGGCACGTCCCTGCAATTTTCCTGCTGAGGTTTTCGGAAGTGGTCTGCTATTGGCTGCTGCTAGGGATGAGAGAGAGAGGGACTGGCTCAAGGATACCCAGCTGACTTGGGGCCCAAAGCAGAAGTCAAACTCCCGGTTTCTAGCTTGGTGCCTGAATCATTACCCTAAATTGACTCTCTTGAGACTGGCTTCAAGTGGGGGGGGGGGGAAACCCCACCAAATAAAACGATTCCTCTTCTGAAGAGACAAGAGCCATGAAAAGCTACAAAAAGGAATTTGAAATTCTGATTCATATCACCTTTGATGTATGCAGATTGAAGGCTTTTTGTTGTCTTCAGAACTAAGCAAGGACCCTGCATTCCCCTTCTTTCCTTCCTTCCCAGATGACTTCCGGATCTTCTGTGGGGACTTGGGCAACGAGGTGAACGATGACATCCTGGCCCGGGCTTTCAGTCGCTACCCGTCTTTCCTAAAGGCCAAAGTCATCCGGGACAAGCGCACGGGCAAAACCAAAGGCTACGGCTTTGTCAGCTTCAAAGACCCCAACGACTATGTCCGCGCTATGCGAGAAATGAATGGTGGGTGTGGGGCTCCCCGTTTGTTGATGGGAAGGGTGGAGCTGTCCATGTCATACCGAGAGCGAATCCTGCTCAAGTCCCGTTGGAGTGGAGAGAACAGAATCGACTCCCAACCAAAAACGAAGTAACGAATGATTAAAAATGTCCTGTCTTTCGAGGAAGGGCAGGAAAACCCAAAACATCAACTGGCTACTAAGTCCAACCACGACTCAACTCCCAATCTGAAGTATAGCTCCATACAAAGTCTGCTTTAAAAAAAAAAGTGTGTACTAAATTGCATCTGTTTCATTTTAAGGAATTCAGATCAATTCCCACATTGCAATTACCCTTTAATGATGTGATCCCTACATAAGGATAAAGTAGGGTTTGTTTAACTGGCTGATGGAATGCACCCCTGTGGCCCAAGTGATCTCTAAGCCATTACAGTTAATTACAACCTCTAATTATAGTTTCACATTCCTCAGTAGCAAAGATAATGTGACAGATAACTCCATAAACCACATGATCAATTGGGTGTAATATGTTAACCCAGTTAACCTAGTTGTGCGGGTAAATTACATTTGCCAACTTCATCGCGATACCAGGTAATTGCGGACTTCACTCCCCCCTTATAGCTTCCCTTAGATATTAGGGGTACTTTCATCCCAGGATGACAGGAGCTTGGCTTAATGCCTGGCTTCAGCAGTTAGGCATCACATTAAACGCCCCCACCAGAGAGGATTTGATTTAAATCAGCTCAATTTAAATCACGATTTAAATCACTAGTAAAAAGGTTTGATTTAAATCAACTCGATTTAAATCATAATTTTTAAAGAGCAAGCGTCATCTCTACCTTGCAGCGGCTCTTCTGACTCACCGACAGTTCCAATATTGCAGAATATACAGCCTCGTGCTACAGAATTTCATGCTGAATAAACTAAATTATTAATGTATCTTAAATAGAAAACTTATCTTTGGATAGAGTTTTACTCCAAAAACATTTTATTAAAAGAAACTTGATAAAAATAAAAAAAACAGGTTTAAATTTTTTTTAAAAAAATCAGTTGTTTTTTTTAAATCATCGATTTTTATCCATCCTGGTCCCCCCCACCTTCACACCGTTTCTTCTTCTTTTGCGGCAGGAAAATACGTGGGCAGCCGGCCCATTAAACTGCGCAAGAGCATGTGGAAAGACCGCAACATCGACATTGTGCGCAAGAAGCAGAAAGAGAAGAAGAAGCTGGGCCTCAGGTAATGGGACAGCGGTCGCTGGGGCTGTGCTTCAACCATCACCCAAAGCTGAGGACCTGGGCCTGCCGGAGAAGATGCAGATTGTGAGAACTTGGGCAGTGGAGAGGGGCTTGGGATAGGACAGCCTGAGGCTCACATGCATGGAGGTGTTGTGTGTGCTTTGCACCCTAGTCCCCAGACTTAACTGGCTTTCCTGGTTTGATAGTAAGCAATCACAACTTGTAGAATCTTCTGGTTGTATTCTGAGGGGTGGAAATAACTTTTGTGCTGAGTCAATAAACTTATGCTTCTCTTTCTTTTTTTTTACTACATTTAACTCTTCTTGTTATCTTTCCCTAAAGAATCTTGTTTCCTTGTGGCTACCTTGATTTTCGGAGTGGTAGTGGTAAGCGTCTGCTTATAGATGTTATATTTCCAGAGACAGACAGTTGTTGGGGAAGTCAAGGGAAAGAGTTTGATGGCCTTTGGAGTCCCGCTTTGTAGGTTTCCGAGAACAGTCTGGATACTCTCTGTAGTAAATTGGGTGCTGGACCAAATATGACCAGAACAAAAGTTTGCAAAACGTTATTTTCTGGAACATCCAAGTAGTCTTGTTTGAAATTGGTTAGATACCAACCTGAGCCTGTTCCAAGAATTGCTGAAGTCAGGCTCCCTTCCCAGAATACTCAGATTATGCCGTAATAGAAGGTTTCCTTACTTGCTGTATGTTTAAGCATATTGGTGAGCAATATTATCTGCAACGTTGAATCATTTTATAAAGACCCTTGGAATCAAGGTGGATTTGATTTAAATCAAGTCGATTTAAATCACGATTTAAATCACTAGTAAAAAGGCTTGATTTAAATAGACTTGATTTAAATCCTAATTTTTAAAGAGCAGCTGTCATTATCTGTCCCGCAGTGGCTCCTCCTCTGTCCCGCTGTTACTCCAAAAGCATTTTATTAAAATAAATTTGATTTTTTTAAAAAATCGAATCTAAATTTTTAAAAAAATCTGATTTAAATTTTAAAAAAATTCGATTTAAATTTTAAAAAAATCTGATTTTTTTAANTAATACCACTCTATAAAGCCTTAGTAAGACCACACCTAGAAGACTGCATCCAGTTTTGGTCACCACACTATGAAAAAGATGTTGAGACTCTAGAAAGAGTGCAGAGAAGGATGATTAGGGGACTGGAGACTAAAACATGAAGAACAGTTACAGGAACTGGGAATGGCTAGTTTAGTGAAGGACCAAGTTAGACATGATAGTAGTGTTCCAATATTTGAGGGGCTGCCACAGAGGGGGTGGGGGTGTCAAGTGATTTTCCAAAGCACCCTAAGGCCAGACAAGGAATAATGGATGGAAACTGATGAAGGAGAGATTCAACCTGGAAATAAGGTGAAATTTTCTAACAGTGACAGCAATCAACCAATGGAACAGCTTCCCTTCAGAAGTTGTGGGAGCTTCATCACTGGAAGCTTTCAAGAAGAGACTCAGCTGTCATCTGTCAGAAATGGTGTAGGGTCTGCTTGGGTGGGGAGTTGGACTAGATGATGTACAAGGTCCCTTCCAACTCTGTTAATCTGTAACTGTATCTGCTAAAATCTCACTGTATTTCTGTTTGGAAATTCTAAGCACCTCACTTAGAATGTAGTGTAGAGAGGCTTCTAGTTAAACTGAGCACATCAGACTACACAGAGACTGCAGCCAGCACAGATGTCTGCATTTGGCTTCCAGCAATCTCTGTACAATTACACCACAATGCCTCATAGCCAAGCATCATCATGCAAGAGCAGATCACAGATGTTTGGTTCCACCAAGTCAGTGACCATCAGTGGATCTGTCTGGATGTGATTGATGGAGGAGTGGTGGAGGAAAGTCCTGGATGAGCCAACTTCCTCTCAGAACACTGAGAACAGGCCAGCCAATGTGAAGCTAGTTCACCCTCTTGTGGTGCACTGGTGCAACAAACAGACTAGCGACTGTCAGTTGCCGGGACTTCTACTTTGTGCATAACATTGTATCCTCCCTGGCCTTGTCTGCCATACACTAAATAAATACATTTTTGTGATATTTCCCTGACTAAAACCAATTAATGTATGGGAATTGCAGAGGTGGTATTCAGCCAGTTCTAACCGGTTCTTGTGAACCAGTAGCGGAAATTTTGCCTGGTTCGGAGAACCGGTAAATACCACCTCTGACTAGCCCCGCCCATCCTGCCCCGCGCCTTCCAGGAGTTTTGGCTCCCGGGGGGGGGGGGGGGGGGGGGGGGGGGGGGGGGGGGGGGGGGGGTTT